CAATGCTAGGAGCTCTAATACATGGCATAAACACAATACGAACCATAAGTAATAATGCACAAGCACCAGAAGAGAGACTAAATAGCTGGGAGTTCCTAAAAATCAAACACTTATGCTCATCAAAGGACTTCACCAAAAAAGTAAAAAGACAACCTACAATTGGGAAAAAATTTTTGGCTACGACAAATCTGAGCAGGGTCTAATCTCTAAAATCTACAAGATACTGGAAACCTCAACAACAAAAAGACAACCCAATTAAAAAATAGGCAAAGGATATGAACAGGTACTTCGCCAAAGAAAACATTCAGGCAGCTAACAGACACATGAAGAAATGCTTACTATTACTAGCCATTAGAGAAATGCAGATCAAAACTACGATGAGATACCATCTCACCCCAATAAGGCAATGCTGGAGAGCTTGTGGAGAGACTGGAACACTTGTACACTGTTGGTGGGAATGTAAAATAGTATAAGCACTTTGGAAATTGATTTGCTGCTTCCTTAAAAAGCTACAAACAGAAGTACCATATAATCCAGCTATCCCGCTCCTTGGAATATATCCTAGAGAAATAAGAGCCATCACATGAATAGATATACACACATCCATATTCACTGCAGCACTGTTCACAATAGCAAAAAGATGGAAACAATCTAGGTGCCCATCAACAGATGAATGGATAAACAAATTATAGTATATATACACACAATGGAATACTATGCAATGATAATGAACAACGATGAAGCCATGAAGCATCTTATAACATGGAGAAAGCTGCAACTCATTATGCTGAGTGAATTTAGTCAGTCACAGAAGGGCAAATATTGTATAAGACCACTATTATAAAAACTCAAGAAAAGGTTTAAACACAGAAGAAAACATTCTTTGATGGTTACGAGGGTGGGGAGGGAAGGTGAGAGTCATTTACTAACTAGATGGTAAATAAGAATTATCTTAGGTGAAGGGAAGGACAACACACACTACAGGGGAAGTCAACACAACTGGACTAAACCAAAGCTAAGAAGTTTCCTGAACACAATCAAACACTTCTAGGTACAGAGTAGCAGGGGTAGGGGTCTAGGGACCATGCTTTAAGGGGACATCTAGGTCAATTGGCATAACAAAGCTTATTAAGAAAATGTTCTGCATCCTACTTTGGTAAGTGGTGTCCGGGGTCTTAAAAACTTGCTAACGGCCGTCTAAAATGCATCAATTGGTCCTAACCACTTGGACTAAAGGAGAATGAAGAATACCAAAGACACAAGGAAAGTATTAGCCCGAGAGACAGAAAGGGCCACAAAACCCAGAAACTTTATCAGCCTGAGACCAGAAGAACTAGATGGTGCCCAGCTACCACCAATGACCCGCCCTGACAGGGAACACAAAAGAGAATCCCTGATGGAACAGAAGAAAGGTGGCGTGCAGAACTGAAATTCTAGTAAGAAAACAAGACTTAACAGTCTAACTGAGACTGGAGGAACCCTGGAAAGCATGGCCCCCAGATTCTCTATCAGCCCAGAACTAAATTTCCGAGGCCAGCTCTTCAAACAGGGATTGGACTGGACTGTGGAACATAAAGTGATACTCGTGAAGAGTGTGCATCTTAGTGCAAGTAGATACAAGAGACTAAACGGGCAGCTTCTGTCCGGAAGTGAGATGGGAAGGCAGAGAGGGTTAGGAGCTGGTTGAACGGACACGGGAAATCAGGGGTGGAAAGGAGTGTGCTGTCACCGTATGGGGAGAGCAATTAGGGTCACATAATGATGTATGTATAAATTTTTGTAAGGGAAATTAACTTGAAATGTAAACTTCATTTAAACTACAATAAAAAAAAGAACTTCACCCCAGCGTGTACCAAATGACAATGACCACCCCCATCTAATACCCACTGAGAATGTTTTTTGATTAAATAAATTAAAATCAATCACATAATCACAGCTCATCATAAGCACACCTTCCAGTACATCCTGATGTCATCAAAATTATGTAAATATATGTAGTAAAAATATATATGTATCTATTCTATATTTGGAGCCCTGGTGGCACAGTGGTTAAGAGCTTGGTTGCTAACCAAAAGGTCAGCAGTTCAAATCCACCAGCTGCTCCTTGGAACCCTATGGGGCAGTTCTACTCTGTCCTGTAGGGTCACTATGAGTTGGAATTGACTCGACAGCAACAGCTTTGGTTTTTTGTTTTTGTTTTTTATATATATATACATATATATATATAATGTATATATATTATACAGTTGTGTATGTGTGTATACATACGCACACCCTGCCCTGCTTTATTTTCTCTTCCATTCTTTTCAGATAAAAGAAATTTTAAAATAAATTGATAGTTTTAAAATCTTTCAAAACACTTAAAAACACAACTACATCAAGCTTACCTTTTCAAGTAATCTCATTTTATAAACAAACCAAAAAGCCACTGCCGTCAAGTCAATTTCAACTCATAGCGACCCTACAGGACAGAGCAGAACTGCCCTGTAGGGTTTACAAGGCTGAAATCTTTACAAGAGCAGACTGCCACATCTTTCTCCCACAGAGCAGCTGGTGGGTTCAAACTGCCAACCTTTTGGTTAGCAGCCAAGCACTTAACCACTGTACCACGAGAGCCCCACATTTTATGAACACAACCATAAAGTTAATTCTGTTGATGTAGAAAGAACATTTAACAAACTAAAACTGCATAGAACATAACAAAATAAAAAGTCAAAACTGTGTTTCTTAGTTTGTTGCAGACCTTATACCAATAATGAATACTATATAACATACAGCTAGGAACTCTGGAAGGAAGCAATGAATGAAAGCACTGTCCTTGTTAAAAACAGAAACAAAAAGGTACTCTTTGATCATACTCTTCCCAACTCTGTAGCCCCTCTGATTCTACCAGGTAACTGTTCTCATTTTGGTGTATATAATTCCACACATTTTCAATGCATAAATGTATGTTCCCCTAGAAGACATATCTTAATCATTTTGAGGTGTGTATCATAAACATAAATGGTTTCATTCTGAATATCTAATGACAATTCTAGAATGCTAACTTAAAAACTGAATATACTTACTTTACCAGGGTAATATCCATATCTTTCTGGATAAGTTCAGATTGTTTATTATTCAGTTGTAATAACAGAGCATTGTATTTACTCTGTGATACTTCAATTTCCTTCCTTGCTTCAATTAAATTATCTTCAAATGCCTAAAATGAGAGTATTTATAAGCACTTATAATCAAACATAATAAATATCAAATTTAATAACAAGAGTCTGTTAAGTTTAAAAATTCTACAAATGACATAGAACTAGTACTGTTTTAAATCTGTTTTTTTCCACATGATTTTAAAACAATAACATAAAAATATATTGTTGGGTTTATAATATATATAAATGAAACACATGTAAGAATACTTGCACAAAAAAGAGGAAAAGGAATAGAGTTATTCAGCAGTAACATTTCTATAAACCAAAAAACCAAAACTAGTTGTTGCCAAGTTGATTCTAACTCATGGTGACCCCATCTGTTGCAGAGTAGAACTGTACTCCATAAGATTCTCAAGGCTGTGACCTTTCAGAAGCACATTGCCAGGCCTTTCTTTTGAGGCACCTCTGGATGGCTTCCAACAGCCAACTTTTAGATTAGTAGCCAAGCGCTCAACTGTTTGTGCCACCTAGGGATTCCTAAAATTTCAATACTCACTAGAATTAAGTTAATATAACCCTGAGTTACATGTTGATAATTTAGTTTAGTAGGGAAATACTACCAAACATTTAAACAAAAATACGAGTGAGTTCCAGCAAAATGGCGCTCTAGGCAGAAGCACCACGCCGTCCCTCCACAGCAAAGATCCGAAAAACTAAGACGAACAGAGACTACAACAATCCTGAAACCCTAAAACACCAAATGAAGAGATAAAGAACTCAGCCAAACACCAAATGGAGTGAAAAACTGACAGAGAACGGACAGCGAGGAGAGATTCACGCAGAGGTCCCCTACCAGCTAACGCAGCGTGGATCTGCCATCCTGGACTCCTACCGGAGACGAGCAAACAGGGGGTACGAGAAAGCAGCCTCATGGAGCGTCCAGCGGGAGACAAAACAACCGGTAATTTGCGATATATGCTTTCCCACCCCCCACCCTTCTTC